GGATAGAGGTCAAGGATGCAAGTGTGTGAGGAAACAGATACTTAATATACCATGGGTGGGGGTGTATATATATAAAAATATAAATGTATATATCCATTGACCTAGCAATTCTACTAGGCATCTATTCTATGGATATAATTACAAAAGTATACTTTAATGTACATAAGAGAATACTGACTATACAACCATTTAAAACCCTGCTTACATTTAAAAAGTCAACTTACACAATACTTCTATGTGTACCACACATGTATTTGTATATATGTACATATGAATGTAATTACACTAAAAATGATGTGGAAGAAAACTGGTTACAGTTTTTCACTTCTGGGAAGAAAAGGGGGATTAAGGGAAGGCTGATTCCCTGTATTATTTGGCTTTTTTACAAAAAAGTGCCAGGCTAAGACCTGATAAAAACATGTTGAATTGTTAGTTTAGCAAATGAAAAGAATGATCCTATGAACTTTTCTGTATCAAAACCAAGGATCGCTCAACTATTACACAGTTCCTTTATATAAAATTGTCAGTACTGTACCAAAGCCATACTATTAGGTCTGGCAAAATGCTAACTATTGTCAGATGTGTTAATTTGCTCTCTGCCTGTCTATAGTAAACACAAGAAGCAATAGGAAAAGAGTTACTGAGTTACTACAGGAAGGTGTTAGGAGCACTGTTACAGAAACTGAAATTGTGTAATGTCAAAGTAACTTTGTTAATGAAGACTTCATAACTATATAAATCTGTGCTTATCTAAAAGCACATTCCTGATTTCCATTCCTTTGTTAACAGAACTTATCAAATTACTTACAGGCAACTTTTCTTTTAAAAATTGTATCAATTTTTAATTTCTTCAGAAAAAAAATACTACATTTTGTATTTTTAAAAAATTTCTACCATGCCAATAGAACTTTTAAAAGATCTTTTACTCAAAATCTTTAAGGGGAAAGGTATCTGTAATTAAAGGGATTTGATGGAGAATATTTGCCTGAGCACAATTATTCATTAGCTATTAAAACTATTCTAAAATCTTTTATATTTGAATATTAGCTTAAACCAATAGGTCTAAATGTGGTTGTCACATATAGAAAGAGCAATTTTTTTTTTGGAAAATATGACTGAAATGGATGAACTCCTATTATCAATTGCTATGTTTCCTTATTTCTTTCCAGGCTAACTATAGAACACCACAAAATAAACTGATGAGGAAGAGTGTAATTACTGAATTAAACAAGGTAGCTATTTTCTCTATTTTTAATGAGGAAGTTTGGCATATAAAGAGCTGAAAGTGTCATAATTAACAAAACCCTACAAAGGAAAATAAATGTCCCCATTTTATTATTTTTCCAATATACTGAATTTCTACAGATTTTCCACTCATCTTTAATCAGTACACAATCAGAAAGTATAATTTGAAAAGTAACTATTTATTGCCTCCCCCCCCCATCCCCTACCCTAAAACCTTGAATAGGACTAGTACCTGCAAAATTAAAGATATCATAAAATGACAGGAAATATTTTTGGGGAGTTTACACATTTCAACATAACTTCTAAATTACTATACCAACAGCCCCAAGCCCAAGCATTAATTTAATTCTTCTTCAATATCAACAAAGCAGAATCTAATCACAGATTTCAAAAATATTAAGTATGCTGAAAGTGTCTGTAAAAATTAGTCCACGTAATTAAACTACTCACAGACAGCATAGTTTTAATTTCTCCAATTGATCTAGATGAAAATCTACTGCCTCTTGTCCATATTCTTTTGATCCATACACTTTTTCTTTGATGATTCCCACTTGTTTCTCCAGAAGAACTCACTACAAAATGGCCACTGAACTGGAGGGTGTGTCTTCATCATTACTAAGCATTTTCCTATCAGAAGCTGCTCTTTGAAAAAACCTGAACATAACTTCTTCAGGGCCCCTCAGTATTACTCAGTAACTGCAGAAGTACTAATAGGGTGAGTGGGGTTTTTAAGATGCCTTTAAAGGATATTACTTAATATTTGTGTTTACTTGAAGGTTTTTTAAACTGGCAGCAGATAAGACACATATTCATAAATTTTCCTGACTGCAGGCTTCTAGTATTGTCAAACTGAAATGACTCTTAATCCAATTAGCCTTAGATGAAATGTTATAAACAACAAAAAATTAAAAAACAGTAACCCTAATTTTTTTCTAAACAATAGTGCAAATGTACTGAAGTATAATAGTATCTAGTCCAAAACAAAACATATCCATCATATGAAAGATGAAGATATGCAAAGGGAGAAAACTGACTTACACAGCTATACATTCAACTAAGACTAAACAGCATCAGGGACTGGTTTTAATAAGGGAAGAGAAGATAGCAGAAGCGGATTGAGCTCTCCTAGTTCTGATGCTTCTCTGATTGGTTGGTGGGAACTTAGTAGGATCCTTTGGTTCAGTTGTCACAGGGCTGGCTTAATGTCCCAGGAATGCCATGGTCCCAGACATTAGGTTGACAGCATTTTCCCAAGTCTCTATCTAGGCTCTGCCCTGGGTTATCCTTATCAGTCAGCACAAGCATCTGTAGGGGAGTTTGCTGGGAGGGCCATTCTCCTAGGGTGGCTCGAGTTCTCAGTTTTTGTAGATTATCCCAGCCTAACAATGGTCTGGGACACTCAGGCATTACCAGGAAGCTGGGGGGAAAGGCATGGCCTTCCCACAGACAGCACAAAGGGGGAGGAAATGGCAGAGAAGTTGGCTTAGTGGTAAGCCCCAAGACAGTGCAAGCTCTTGAGATGAGGGGTCTGAAGAAGGAAGTAAGACAGAGTAGGTAGCCCCAGTATCCAAAAGGAGAGTTAACTGTCTTACTTGCTACATCCATTGGCACACTTGGGTCCAGTTCAGTGATAGTGATCTCCTGCAGTGGGGCCCACTATAGGGGGCTGTGTCAGTCCTGGTTGGGCAGTTGCAGGCCTGGGGCTGCCTCAGACCCCTGATCCCTTCAATCTGAGGGGCAGAAGACAGCCCAGTGCCCTGCCTTTCCTCATTTTGAGCAGGCAGTGACAGGTGGCCTGTCCCTTCAGGGACATTCTTTGTCACAATGTCCTGTTTAGCAGCAGATGTAGTACTTCATGGAGCCATCCTTGGATGTGGCTGGGGTGTCAATGGGCTGCCCTCAGTCCTGTAGGGCAGCCATCATCTGGGCATGCCTAGCCTCCTCCTTCCTGGCCTTCCTGAGCCCTAACCTCCTTGACCTGCTCTCCGTGTAAAAAGCTGAGGTTGCTACAGTAAACATGTCATCTATTGTGGCTTCTGAGTCCTGAACTACCTTTCAGAGTTTCCTCCTAATGTCTGGTGCTGACGGGGTCAGAAATCTATCTTTCAGGATGACCTTGCCCTTGTATGAAGCTAGGACAAGACTGGTATGTTTAATGAGTGCCTCTTTAAGCCTTCCGAGAAAGGCAGCTGGGTTCTCAGGGGGCTCTTGGGTCACAGCAGAGACTTTTGTATAGCTGATGACTTTCTATCCAGCAGCCTTAAGCCCAGCCTTTATGCAAATTAAATAACAGTCCTATCCAGGATCCATGTCTCTTATGGGATAATTAAGGATCTGTAGGTGTACTCCATTTGCAAATTTCTTTGCCTCTCAGGTCACTCTCTGTAGTTCTGTGTCTGTAAAAGTCTGACTCAGAATGACCCAGACATCTCTCCAAGTCATATCACAGCCAACTGTTAGATGCTGGAAACTATACAACCATCAGGATTGTCAGTGCAGCTTTCCAGGTCTATTTTAAGTTCAGTTCAATTAGACAGGGCTTGTACACAAGCTGGGGGCCTAATTTCCCTGCTGCCTCCACAAGGGGGCAGACCCTCTGCAGAGGCAATGGTTGCTGTCCCATAGTGGGTTGGCCCCGAAGTCAGGACTTCGAATATGGGAAGATTTGGGAGTAGAAGGGTGTTTGGGTGTTTGGAGGCTGAAGTCCCCAGGTTGGTCTGGTGGAGGGGGCCCAGGATATGGGGGCAAAGTAGATACAGTAGAGGTTTTTCTGAGGTTATTGGCTTGTTTGGACCCAGGCCCTCTGTAGAAGGGTGAGGTTCTGGTTTGAAGTGTTTCTAGTGTCAGAAGATACAACCTAAAGGGCTATTGCAGGGAATCGAGTGTTGGTTCTCCATCTAGAATGAACGGGAAGGAGGAGTAGTAAGAGAGCTTGGTGTCTCGAGGTCATTACCAGAGGCCTAGCACACAGTCTAGTGCCAAACTGTGTTTCGGACAGACATCTCCATCCGATGCGGCATGACAGCCTGTGAAATGGTACCTTTCCACTGCTGTTCGTTTCCATGTATCTAGATCTGGCAGGGGGTGTGGGACGGGGGTAGCCCCAGCACTTGACTAGGGCAAGGACCCATGATCAAAGGTGGAGAGCCCAAGCAGCACCACTTGAATGTGGGGGGGGAAAGGGGGCAGACAGTCGTTACGGGAAACTGGCATACCCTTCTCCTTCTAATCTGCTGGAGGGAGAGCATCCTCAAGGGGCAACACTCCTGGCTTCAGGATTCCCTAGTGACCTCATTCATCTAAGCAGTAGCACTGATCCAAGTGGGTGGTACCTGTGATGGTTTGCCCTTGTTGGAAGGGGCAGGGGTGGAGCCATTCCAACTGTACACAGAGGAAATGGGAGAATAGGGTTCTAGGGGAGCAATCCTCAAGGTAACTTTGGTCTCAATACCTGCCAGGTCTCCATTGGTTAAGGTTTTGGCAGCAGCTCTAGGTGCTGGGGTAAAGGAGGAAGGAGAGGAGGGAGGAGGCTCGTAGCTGAGCCTCCAGTGTCAACAAAGGCATAAAGGGGGTTCTAAGCAGGCGAGCCTGGTGGAGATCCAAGAGCCTCATCAGGGGCCAAGAGGAAGAGGCCTGAGTCAAGGTCTGGCCTCAGAGAGACTGCCAGATTTGTTGGGAAAGATCATATTGGGTCACCCAATGGGCTAAGGCAGCCATGAGAAAAAAATTGCCACGATGGGAAAGAGGTTCTGGCCATGGGCTCTCTTGCTCCCACAGATGCCTGCGTGGGCAAGGAGAGGCGGGTTCGAGGTCCTGGTTAGGTCAGAACTGCAGATCTCATGCAGAGTAAACATCTCCATTACCCTCTAAATGGAAAATAGGGCAGACTCGACAATAGAAAGAATTCTGAGTGCAAAAGGTACAACGGCTTATAGAATCAAGGTGAGTCAGAAGGCTCTTAGCTTCCACTGGGAGCTGTTGATGAAGAAAAGAGTAAAGGGAGAAATTTCAGGCCATTCTGGGTGACATTCCTGAGGACCTGACTGTGAGCTGCCTCCTAGGGAGAGATACCCTGCAAGGTGAGCACAAGTGGGGACTACCTCTGGCTAGATCTGGTGGACCTCTCACGGCCAAGGGGATCATTAGATGAGGTCTCTGGAGGATCTCCCCAGAACAGGTAGAGGGAAGGGAAGCCTACTGTAACAGCAGTCTTAAGATCAGTGGCCATCCTATTGACTTTTAACTGGCTGCCCCAGGCCAAGCATTTGATAGTGATGAGAAGGGTCTGATTAGCTAACCTACCGATAATACAAAAAGTCTACATATCCCCACAACCCATGTTATTTAAGCCTCAACTCTATCATTACCAAAGGGGATAATTCTAACGTCACCATAAAATTCTTTGCTTAACTCAGAAGCACAGAGGGAAAATTATTTTTCCTCTCCCATATTTCCAGTTTGTAAAATCAGTCCTAGAGCACAAAAAGAGATAGTAAGTTGCTTGACTCATTTAGAAGGTAAGCAATAACAATGGTCATGGATTGGAAGACTCAATATTGTAAAGATATGAGGTCTCCCCAGATTAATCTATAGATACAAAGCAATCCCAATCAAAATTCCAGTAGGTTTTATTTTCTTAACTGAAACTGACAGACCAATTCTAACATTCATTTGGAAATACAAAAGACCAAGAATAGTCAAGGCAACGGTGAAAGAAAATAAAGCTGGAGGGTTTCATCCTACCAGATACTAAGACCTATTTTGTAGTTCAATGTGGAAAGGATGGTCTGTTCAGTAAATGCTGGGTTTATTTTACTGACACCATGTGGGAAAAAAGTATGTTGAACTTTATTTCATACCATTAAAAAAAATCAGTTCCAGATGGATGGCAGATCTAAATGCAAAAGGTAAAAAAAAAGCTTTTAGAGAAAATATCTTTGTGACCTTAGAGTAGGCAAATATTTCTTTAAAAGCACTCATCATAAAACAAAAATGTTTAATTGGATTATAACAAAGTTAGGAGCTTCTATTCTCTGAAAGACACTATTAAAAGAGTACCACACATAGCCCAAGATATTTGAGGTACACATATCCAACAAGGACTTGTATGTTGTATATGTGCACTCTTTCAAATTGGTAACAAAAAGAGATAAACCAATAGAAAAATATGGAAAAAACTTGAGTTGGCTTCACATAAGTACAAGGGTCCATAAACATATAAAAAGACTCAATTTCTTTTTTCAGGGAAATGCAAATTGAAGCTTAGAAAAAATAAGGATACACATCCACCAGAATGCTGAGTGAAATTGGCAATTGTTGGTGAGCACAGAGCCACTGGACCTTTCATGCACTGCTAGGAGTATAAACTGGTACAACCACCTTGGAATGATGTTCAGCAATATCTACAAAAGGTGAATGTATACAATTCTTATGACTCAGTAATCCTACTTCTAAGTATATATCCAACAGAAATATGTTCAACAAAACACATACCAAAAGGTTCACAGAAGCACTATTCATAATAGTCTCAAACTGGAAACACCCCAAAACCATTAACAGTAGAAGGGATTCATAAACTATCATATATTCACATGGAATATTATGGAGCAATAAAAGATGCTCACATGACAATATGAACCTAACAAACCAGAGAAAAAGAAATGAGACAAAAAAGAGCATATACAAATGGAATTGCAGAGTGTGTAAACTATAAAAATAGACCAAACTAATCTAAGTTACTGTAAGTCTGAATGGTGGTTATCTTTAGGATGGGGAGAAGTGACTGAAAGGGAGCAAGAGGGTAGCTTTTGGTGTGCTGGAGATGTTTTCAGTTTCTTGATCTGGGTGCTCATTACACGGGTGTGTTCAACATGTGAAAATTCATCTATCTGCACATTATAACTTGTGCACTTTTCTTAATGAACATTGTGCTGCAATAAAAACTTATATGCCAAAAAGCAAGTCAATTAAAAAGTAAACTGGAAAAATATAAGTCTAAGTAATATAAGAGGAATTAATATAGGTCAACTTTTAAGAAGTTAGCCTCCAATGAGAAAATGGGCAAAACATTACAGAAAGAAATGCTCAAGCAAAACAATAAAAATCGCCCCAATAAATGCACAACAAATAAATTAGAACAATGGAATGCCTTTTTTTCTATCAGATTAGCAAAGATTAAAGGAAACTAATAAGGCTGTTGGGGAGAATTTGGTGAAACTAGTATCTTATTCTCAATAGAAATATGAATTGGTATAATCTTACAGCATAAGTCTTAAAAAATTCATAGTTTCTGACCACTTAGATTCCTTTCTAGAAATTATTCTACAGAAAAATCAGTTTCAGTTAAAGATGCATTGTGTCAGTATTAATTACAATGGTATTTTGAAACACTATATCCAATGATGGGAAATGGGTTATATTATGATACATATACATGATGGAATGTTATTAATAATGTTTTCAAAGAGCAATGAATAGGAAAAGACTCATGATAAATTTAAGTGAAAAATACATATAAAATTCTATGTGGTATGATATCTTTTGTATTAGAAAATATCACACACTTAAACATATATCTGCATAGAAAAAAGGCTGTAAGAAAATACATTACAATGTTAATACTGGCCATCTTTGGGAAGCAAGGTAATTATTTTAATTTTGTGGCTTACTTTCTACAATGAAATGGTTCTTTGAACATGTATTACTATTGTATTCAGAAATCTAAGAAAATCACAGGGTAAAAAAAGAACACCCACCTAGTTTCCCTTACTCTAGAAATCTAAGCAGCCTAGATTTTTGTCTTTACTTCAGCTCCCACATTCAATCTCTTAACTGTTCTCTCAATTTTACTTCAGAAGTATCTGTCCAAGCCATTATTCCATTATTTCTTGTCTCATTTCCAAAATTCAGGTGCTTGTCTTCCCTATGAAACTCGAGTCCAGGTTCTTCATTTTGGAAAATAGCCTCATCTTCCACTACTTCTACATTCTAGCCACATCAAAACACTTTATACAGTGACCCTTACACTCCAGCCCCTAAAAAATCCATCCTCCAGTGTCAGTTTGTGCATTTTTCAACATTTATCATTCTGCACTGTTTAGTGCTTAGCTCTTTCATTGAAGAAAATGGGCCATTTCTTTTTTAAAAATTCTTAAAATCTAGTTGGATGAGTAAATGTAAAGCGTACATATATGCCACATATACAAGGGTGTGAGTTTTAACATGTTTGATAGATGAACGGCAACGAGAACACTAGACGCACCCTTCCGCCCGCCCCCCATTCAAGATGGCAGAGAACGTCTTAAAATAGTCCCACACAAAAGCACTCACAACCCGGAGCCTCGAGTCAGAACCGGCTACACCTAGCGCGCAATAGCAAAGGACAAAAGAACCTAGATGCTGAGATGCTTGGCCGTCACCACCCACAGTAGGTCCTACACACAGATATCAAACAGTGTTAGAAACCTGGCACCTGCTGCCTTCATTTTGACAGCCACGCCTCAGGTGTGATGCGTGCCCTAAAGCACTTTGGGATAATGATCCTAAAAATCGAGGATGAAAGAGGGGGAGGAAAGAGGTATTGATTAAGTATGCCAAATGCACCACTGGGCCCCGCCCCAGCAACGGTGCAGTCCCCGGCGGCGGGTCCACCCCCGGGGAGGGTACTGGCGGCGCTCTCGGCCCCTAGCCAGGCAAGACTGCCCAGGCTGGGCATTCC